TATGGACTGCGTGGTTTGGCTCAGCTCTGTGCTTCAGCTTTGCTCCTGTCAGCGAAGGGTCTGACTCGGCGCGCAGTCGCAGCACGGACTGTAGTGAGTGGATTGATCTTGGCTTGCAGACCCGCGACAAGGCAGAGCCAGGAGTAGACTCCTGCCAGCAGCGGCGCGGCAGGCTTGGCCGGGCTCAGGAGGAAGCTTCGATTCGCAAGAGGCTGTTGGACGAGCCGTCGGCTTGCAGAGAAGTGGAGGCGGCGCAGAGGCGGCAGCGGCAAGTCAGGTCGCGCGGCGCAGAGCAGATGGCCGCGCCGCAGTCTGAGGGCCGCTCCTGTGTGCCCGAGTGCTGCTCCGCTGTTCCTATTGGTGCGCCATAGCCCGCGTCAGGGAAGGCAAGATCCCCGGAAAGGCTCGCGGTGATAGGTGTTGGTACTCATATGCCGGCAAGGAGCACTACACCAAAGACTTCGAGATTATGCGCGGCCAGAGCTTGTCTCGCACTGTGGATGGCGCAGAGCCGCAGGGAAAGCAGCTCGACAAGCACGGAGAGCTGTGGTGCGCGGTGGCTAACTCCTACTTTGGCAGAATCCCAGGAAAAGCCAAGGACGGACGCTGCTGGTTCCCGTATGGTGGCCAAGAGCGTGTGACCACGGACTTTTTTTACGTCTCCTGAGCTCGCGGCGTGGGAGTAGGTGGCTTGGGTGGGTGTCGGGGCTGCCTATGGCGAAGCCTAAGGTGTAGCAGTTGGGCATGAGGAGAGCTGCCGAGCAAAAAGTGAGCTACAGGTTGTCGTCGGAGAGAGAGTTGGCATGAGCTGAGTGTAATGCTATATGTGTGGCTCGCCAGTTTGTGTTAGGGCCGTCTAGGGCTTAGGGATTGGGCGGGTGCGTGGAGAAGCTAGGCTGCTGTGCGTTCTCGGCTTCGTGGGCAGTGTGGTCCACCGTCCCGGGGCGGATCTGAGGCTGTGTGCCAGAGTCCTTTGTGCTGTGAAGCTGGATGCCGGAGCTCGCTGCTGGCATTTCGGACGACCCTCGACGCGAGGGATGGCCGTGCTTCCGGAAGCATGTCACGCGGGCGCGCGGCAACCAGCATGCTGCGTGGCAGAGATGTGCCCTGAGGACGAGCTATGTGACGAAGGCCGCGGGGCACGGACAGCGTCGAGCTCTAGGCATCGCTGCCGAGATTCTTGAGACGGCGCTCGCGGAATTGCAGGATGTAGTGAGCCCAGAGGACTGCACGGAGAAGATTGTGACGGGCAAGATTATGGAAGTGAAGGGGCGACAGCTTCAGGCAAGCGGAGGAGGGCTGGACTACTGCGTGAGACCGGGCGCCAGCGTCCCGGCCGCAAGGAAGTCTGCTGGGAGGATGGGGAATCCCGTGGCGGCCACCAGTGGAGAGGCCGACGGTCCGACTTCGACATGGCTCAGCCGACACCGCCACAAGAGCCGCAAGCGTGCCGCCGTCGGTGAAGACGGAGGACTTATGTCGAGAGACAGGCGGCGCTGATCAAGAGTGGGAAGAGCTGGACAGGCTGGAGGTTGAGCTCATGGAGCGCAAGGTCAGGCTCGGCGCAAGGCCGAAGCAGCAGCCGCACCAGCGGCGCGGAGAAGCGCGGCTGGCGGCTGCCGGCGTCTGAGCCCTCTGTGGCCTCCTGGCTGCGCGACAGTATTCTTGGGCGTGGCTAGTTTGCAATCTGGCAGCTTGTTCTGAAGTGGAGTGCGGTCGCCTGAGACTGACCAGCCTTGGTCCTGGCTAACGCCCAGTGAATGTGCTAATGCAAGTGAAGCGACCTGCGCAGTCAAAACTTGTAACTCACTGCTTCTCATGATTTGTGGGATTTGCGGTCGTTTGAAGTTGAGTTGTGAGCTGAGCTTGCAGCATGTATTTGCGTTCCGGCTCAGCTGCGTTCGGTTTGTGTCAGATGTGTTTCGCAATGTTTCTCCCGTGCCCCGGTGCCAAATGAAACGTTGTCAGCAGTAGTGGTGAGAGGCAGAATCGGCTGCGACCTCATGGAACTTCTCCGGGAGTCGGACAGCAGTTTGCGAAGTGATGGGGACGTGCGAATCCGGAAGCTGCCTTTTGCTTCTTGTCGATGCGCGCTGCTCCGGCAAGTGTGGAGAGTGGCTGCGTGGGGGGGGGCGAGCACTATGAGCCCGCAGACCGGTGGCATATTGTGAAGACTGGGAGCCAAGTCGAAGGCCGGGCGTCGGCGGAAGCTTCTCGGCGATGCGTGCTACTCTGGCAGCTGTGGAGACTGGCCGCGTGTGGGGGCCAGCGCTATGAGCCTCCTGCGTACTGCAGACCGCTGGCATCTTGTGAAGACTGGGAGCCAAGTCGAAGGCTGGGCGCCCGCAGGAATCAGTTCTTCGTCTCGTTAATCCCGCCCACCCAGGAAGGAACGGTCGCGAGTACGACCTCTTCCAGGCAGTTGGCCGACTGCCGGCGAAAGAACGGGGAGGCCGGTCTACCCAGGAGGGAACTCAGCCAAGAAACACCTTCAATGCAGTAGCCGACTGCAGATTGTGGGGAGGCATGCGCGAACGTCAAGGTCTCGTGCATGGTCTCGTGACAAATGTCACACCTGGCCAGTGGCACCCTGCAACACACTGCACCAACATCACGAAGAGTTGAAGCTGTAAATGTGAGCGCCTCGGCGTCAGCATCATGCAGAGAGATTGTGTTGTGCAATTGATGAAGCTTTGTGTTGGCAGGTGGGTTGACATAAATCCCCTGCATCATTCTAGGATTACAATTTCTCTTGCCCCCAGGGGTTTTTGCAGCGGCGCTGGGCTGTTCGCCCAGAGGGCGATAGCCAGCAGGTCGCGGGCTGCGGCGGCGAGCTTGTATTGTCTCCTGTCGTCAAAGCAAAAAGCGAGGTGTGAGTTGCATGCTTGGCGTTTTATTGGTGGTGCGAGCTGAAGTGATGCGTGGCTGATGACGGCTCAAGTCTAGCTTTTTTGGTCGCCGAGACCATTCTCCAGATGCTAAAAAAGCCAGAGGTAGGATGTTGGGCTTTTCTATGAAGACAGGCCCGCCGCCTCTGTGAGAAATGTCGAAGACCGTTCTGCAGATCCAAGCGAGCTGGAAGCAGGATGCCAGGTCAGCCCTTTTCGTGAGGTCACGAAGCGGGCGGGAGACCGGAGACAAGCGCACGGCTATGCGTCGGACAAGTTTGGTGAAGTTGTTCTCGGAGCTGCTTTTGCGTCACTGGGAGCAGGACGCCGTGGACATGAGGATGTTGTGGCGGATCGCCAGCGGCTGGGCGAATGCCCGCAGCGCCACGAGCCTGTGGGCTCGGAGACAAGATGAGAAAAAGAGCCGCTGGTGGTGGCTACCGGAACGGCTGGTGCAGACGTACTGTCGGGAGGATCATCGGGTGCGCGCGCAGGCCGGCGGCTTCGTGCTATGTGAGAAATGTCGAAGACTGTTCTGCAGATCCGAGCGAGCTGGAAGCGGGATGCCAGGTCAGCCCTTTTCAGGATGTTACGCAGCAGGCGGGAGTAGGCGTGCGCCCAGGCCGAAGGCCGGGGTTGCGTCCAGGCCGAAGGCCGGGACTTGTAGACTGCGTGTTTTCTTGTATTGTTTTGGCGAGCGGCGGGTAGTTTTTGTTGTAAAGGCAAGCGCGGCTGCTCGAGGGTGACCAGCTCTGGTTGGCTGTGGCCATCGCAAGTGCCGGTGCAAGTGAAGCGGCAGTCGAAGTCGAAAGACTGAGACCAAGGGCGGGGATCGCAGCTTTCGTGGAGTTGAGTGTTCGGCTTTTTGATTGCATGCGTGTGCTGTGCCTGGCCCGCTCAGGTTCGAGCCCTGCCAGTCTGGCTGACTCGGCGTAGTTTTTGTCGGCCCGGCCATGAGGCCTGAGTGCGCGCCCATCTTATCCTTGGCTGACAGCACAGCGGTGGGGTTCGGTGACAAGTACGGCGTGCAGCTTGTGGATTCTTCGAGCAGGCGTCGCTGTGTCGTCTGGTGCTGCGGCGGGTCTCTGGTGACCGGCTCCTGTTGTGCTGGCGAGACGCTTCCGAGCGTGGCCAAGCAGCTCGTGTGCGGCTGGAGGCAGATTGCCGCGCGCCTCGGATTCCCGGATGTGACAGATTTTCTAGCTCAGAGGCTGGCGGTGAGCCTTGCGGCGGCACGCGGAAGCGTGCCGGAAGGCACTGCGATCTATGGCGACCTGCGTAAACATCGCAGCAGTTGGCGCGTGCGAGAGACGAGCAAGACCATTTTAGACATGCAGGACAGCTGGGCGCAGGACAGCGAGCCGTTCTATCGGCGTGGCCTGCACTTCTGTGGCGACAAGGATCTATTGCCACATGATCGAGGAGGCGGCGAAGTTGGCTGTGTGCCCGGGCACAACGCGCGCAGAGGACGACGTGGTGGACTGCGACCTGGCGGTCGTCATCTGCTGTGGGTGGAACAACGTTCCGAAGACCGGAGACAAGTGCACGGCTATGCATCGGAGAAGTTTGGTGAACTTGCGCTCGGAGCTGCAGCTTTTGCGTCACTGGGAGCAGGACGCCGTGGACATGAGGTCGTTGTTGCAGATCGCCAGCGGCTGGGCGAATGCCTGCAGCGAAACGAGCCTGTGGGCACGGAGGCACGATGAGAAAAAGATTCCCCTGTGGTGGCTGCCGCGACGGCTGGTGCAGACGTACTGTCGGGAGGATCATCGGGTGCGCAGGCACGCCGGCTACTTCGCGAGAGAGTTCGATCGAACCTTTGCAGAGTTTTGCAACTTTGCCTCTACGCAATCTGTGAATCTTTTTCGAGAATACATCAAGCCGTGCCACCGCGCCGATGTTTGGCGCTACCTGCATATGTACCGCCGCGGTGGAGTATACCTGGACTTCAAGTGCGGATTGCTTCAGCCGCTCTGGAGGTGGCTTCTCGAGCTACAAAACGCTTGCATGCAGCATGAGCTGGGCCGCCAGGGCGAAGCCCGGGCAGGCACTCAGTGTCCTCCATTCATGGTGACGTGCTTGGGCACACTCAAGCACGAATACGTGTTTCAGGGCTTGATCATTTGCTCCCCGCGGCGCCCGCTGCTGGCTCGGGTGCTGGGAGAGGCCATGGTGACTCGGCAATCCGAGCTTGCAAGCAAGGCGAAAGGTAAGGGGTACCTTACTTTCTGCAGGCAGTTTTACCAGACGCTGAAGAAGGGTGCCCAGCTGAACAAGTTAGAGCCTGGCTGGGTCGACGCCGGCCCGTATGGCTGGGTGTACCTTCTGAAGGAGGACAAGCTGGTCACCGACAAAGCCCTCCAAGTGATGCAGTTGACCAAGCCAATTCCAGACACGGACGGCCCTTTCGTTTCGCTGCCATCTGACGGCCACATAATCCACAGCGGGAACAAGCATCCCGCGCAGACGGAGCATTGGCTGCTGGCTACGCGATGTTGGGGTTGGAACCAAGGTTGGAAGGAGGATCGCACGCGGGCCGACACGGCTTTTCATCAGGCAGCCAAAGGTCACCGCGCGCAGGCCAGCGCCGCGCAGGTGGTCGCTTGCAGACCTCTAGACGGAGACCTGGCGGTTGAGATGCAGGTGTTGCGCCTTAGTGAGGCCGGCCGGGTTTCTAATCTTGTGTGTTGCAAATAGCATTTCGAGCGGGGGTGGCTATTTTTCATTGCTCGTGAGGAGCGCCTGGCTCGCGTGGACACAGTGGCGCGCAAGGTGATGGAGCTCTACACGAATCAGAAGGGCAAGGACAAGACGGAGTACAACGATCTGCAGGTGCAGTGCCTGGTGGGCCAGGGGCTGGTGTTTCCGCAGGCCTACGATGCCCTGACATGCGTATGGTGCCGCAAGCAAGAGAAGCTGTTCAGGCTTCAGTCGCTGGCGGCAGTGTTTCAGCACTTCGAGAGCCAGAGTCACGTCAGGTCACAGGACGACGGCGGAGTCACTCACACGCATCCCGCCCCGCAAGAGCAGCCGCAGGTGGAGCAGGAGCCGACAGACAAGGAGCCAGTCAACGACCCGGCGAGCTCCGGTCTGGAGTGGTCGAGCGACAAGCATCTCCCCACCAGTGATGAGCTCATAGAACTCTCCAAGGAGCAACAGGAAGCAATTTTGGGTGGATCGGGCGATTTGAAACTTGCTGTCCGGAAACGGCGCATCCTTGCGTAGAGATTGCTCTCGCTTGATAGCCTGGCAATTGGCAATCATGAGGAAAACGTCCGACGCTTCCCAGAACTTGCTGTCGTGGCCCGCCGCAACAGCCCATGCGTCCAGCGCCGCTCCCAGCAACGAGTAGCCAATCCCCAACAGCTTGGACTGGCTTGACAGCACCTCCTCCTCCACACGCTTTCCACGATCAAGAGGACCGGATTCTTGGTGACGGGAGTGGTTTTCTGGAGGCTGCAAATAAAATCACGCCATGACGTGCCTTGCTTGGTGGTTTGGTGCTGAAGGGTCTGCTGAAACTCTGCAGGCGCGCAGTTCGAAAGAACGAGGACTTGCTCTGCACAGTACTGCGGCAGCCCCTCGTTGAAGTCGTACACAATGCTGACGAGAGCTCGAATCCACGGAGACATATTGAAGGACGGATCTTGCGCAAGATGGTTGACGGCAAAGAGGTGTTGGCCTTCCGCGTGGTTCCCACTGCTGCCCGACAACCCGACCGTTAGCCAGTACTATAACGGCAATAGTGTGAAGTTGCATCGAGCGGTGGTGCAGTCGCAGAGCAGTCACAACCCGCAGCAGCAGCCAGCCAAGAGACAAAGACAGGGTTTTCCCGTGGAGCCATGGTCTTGTCTGCCTGCTTGGCGCTCCGGCTGGCATTATGGCTGGCACAGCGGGGATCACTCCGAGTGGGAAGCCGGGTAGACAGCACTCCGGGTGGGAGAGCGGGTGGCAGAATCGCTGAGAGCCCGACGTCAGGTCCAAGGCCAGACGCGTGTCTAGGTTGTCTAGCTGGCTTCCAAGGCGGTCTGCGCGCTGAAAATTGGCCGTGTCCGTGACCCAAGAATTAGGGTCACATTGCGTGCCCTGCTTGTAAGAGCATGGAGTGTTCACCAATAGTACGCGGTCACGGGAAGCCTGGCAGGCCCAGCGCGGGCCGAAGAACAAGTAGAAAAAAACTGGTTTCGCGGCATTGCGCAGGCTTCCGAGGAACCTTGCTCAGTTCCTTTTTGGGGCAACAAAGTTGTTTTTTTAAAACATGGAGGCGCTGAGAGATCTGGCCGACGACTTCAACGTGAGGGACCCACGGAAGCTGTACCGACTCGCACGGCAGCGCGACCTCGACGTGATGCAGGCCATAGCCTTCGAGGCGCTGAAGGCCGACGTGGGGCAACAGGCGCAGGCGCCCCGGCCCCGCGCTGGGCAAGTCGGCCGCCGAGGGGCTGAACGACCGGCTGCAGGCCGACCTCATCGACTTCAGAACACCCGGGGGAAGACGAAGTATGGCCTGGTGGTGATGGACGTCTTCACCCGTGAGGCTGCCGTGGAACCTTTGCAAAACAAGAACGCCGAGACGGTCGGCCGGGCCACCAAGCGTGCCGCGCAGGAGCTGACGGGGGACGACGGGAACTTCGTGGTCACGACAGACCTGGGCAACAAGTTCGCCACGCTGGACCGGGAGCTGCCCAAAGCCGAGGCGCCCGGAGGACCGCAACGCCACGGCCGTGGTGGACCGGGGCATCCAGACGCTGAAGAAGGACCTGGCCACGCAAGGCTTCAGGGCGGCCTTGCCATTCTTGAGGCAATATTGAATCAATCTTGAATCAATATTGAACCAATATTGAATCATCTTGAGTCAACAATGGATCAATATTGACAAGTCCACCTCTCTCTCTTTAGAGGGAGCTCAAGAGCACACTTGCGCTTCTTTGCAAAGCACACTGCTTTGCAGAGCACGCTTCTTTGCAGAGCACACTTGCGCTTCTTTGCAGAGCACACTTCTTTGCAGAGCACACTTCTTTGCAGAGCACGCTTCTTTGCAGAGCACACTTCTTTGCAGACCAGGCTTCTGGGATATGGGCAAAAAACAAGGACGACATTTTGTTTTAATGTCCATAAGGTGGACATTAAATCTCTCTCTTTAGAGGGGGTTTTTTCAAATGGATTCTGACAGGCTCCTGGCACACTCGTCCGTCCAGGAAACGACCTCGTCCTGCGAAGGACTCGAAACCTAAAGCGCTGCGTGCAGGCGTGTGGCTGCAACATAACGACCCCTAGATATGCGCCGCAATTTGGCTCCAGGTTGCATTTCAAGCGAGGTCAAGCTTTGCCAAAGGAAACCCCTTTTCCTTTTTTTTCGGGACCCTTTTTTTGGGGAGCCTTTTTTTTTGTTTTTTTCTTAGCCCTGCAAAGGTTGGCTCGCTTGAAATGCAACCTGGAGCCAAATTGCAAGCGTATCTAGGGGTCGTTATGTTGCAGCCACACGCCTGCGCGAAGCGTTTTAGGTTTCGCAGGACGAGGTCGTTTCCTGGACGGACGAGTGCCAGGAGCCTGCGGACGGTGAGGTGGGGTAGTCCGCTGCGTTGGGAAATTGCTGCTGCAGCTCCGGTCATTCAGGATGAGGCGGTTGCCGTCGTAGGCTACGCTCAGGCTGTTCGTGGTCTTGCTGTAGGTGGCAGTAGCAAAGTTGGAGCTGATCCAGGCGGCCAGCCGGCCTCAGCAGCGC